GACTTGTAAAATCTGTTGTTTTTAACACAACAAGTCTTGGGTGCACTGAATTACCAGGGAAGTTTGCCTCAAATGGAGATGTTAAGACGCTGCTTTAGCCAGTCTGGAGGAGGGCCCAGAAACCTGCTCTTTTAATAAGCCTTTCCAGGTAGTCCCAGCGCAAGCCTGCACGGAACCTCTGGTTCAGCAGATCGTCTCCCGAAAACCAGTGCCACCCAAACCTTAAGGCACCACTCGGATGAGAGATTGGTTTCTTTCCCCATCCCCTGCCCCCGAATTCTTCAAAACAGACTATCTTCCAAAATGAAGAACCTACAGGAGAAATGTTAGTTTCTATTTCAAATAAGAGGCTCACTATGTTTTTCTTCAAATGCCAGAAATCCTTTAAGGTGAAATACCCTTACATTTAAGCAACGGGCTCAAGAGTTAATCTGAAAAGAAGTGATACATGTAACATTATATATAATATAATATATGAAAATAGCTATATTACAGAATGCCTGAAGAGCTTATATACAATACAGAGAAAATACAGAGAAAAGAAAGGATGTGTAAATTTATAAATTAATACATAAATACATATACTCCAGGGCATCCAGGAAGTCTAGAAACATTTGAAAATGTAGCTAATGGACTGCTTATCGATAAATTTATCCTATGTTTCCTGGATGATCAGACACCTTGTAGAATGTCATTACTTTAGTATAATTAGATGATCCAAATCTATCAGGGCTCACATCAAGTCTCCTTCCTCCTTTCCTTCCCTCCTTCTTTCCTTCACTCCCTCCCTCTGTCTCTCCCCTTCCTTTCTTCCTCCCCTCCTTCATTTCCTTCTCTTTCTTTTAAAAATCATTTTCTTTTTTCTTTTTCTTTTTTTTTTGGGGGGGTGGGGGGCAGAGAGAGAATCTTAAGCAGGCTCCATGCCCAGTGTGGAGCCCAATGTAGGACTCCGTCTCACCACCCTACGATTGTGACCTGAGCTGAAATCAAGAGTCAGACGGTTAACCGACTGAGCCACCCAGGCACCCCTATAATCATTTTCTGAGCTTTTAAAACATACACAGCACTTTAGTAGACGTGATTATAATAGACATATTTGTGTGTGGGGTGGGTCTTATAAAAATATAAAATATAGAGTCCCTACTCTCAAGAGCATTCTCCTTGGGGTGTAAAATATAAACAGGTGATACATTTAAATGTTATTATAAGCCAGTATCTCAAGTGAGTGGTTCAGAAAATGTGTGCTAGAAAATTCTGGGGCAGAAGTGTCAAGCTGTCCAGAATGGTCCAGACCATTTTCAAGGAATTTTGTTATGCTACGTGAAGGCATTCTCTAATCTCTCCATCTAAGATATAATCACCCAAAACTCCAACAGCAGGCCATCAACAAGCCCTACAGTATGGTAAGAAATAAAAATTCCAATTTTCACATCTCATATGACAAAGGAAATTCTACACGCCATGGGACCTGGCCCAAACTCAGCGATGAGGACAATGACACGTTACCCAGTTGCTATTCCAAAACCCTGACACACGCTGAACATTGCCACAGGTAGGAAAGTAAATTTGCCGTATCATTTCTCCTGGTTCTTTTCATGCAGGTTACTTCTCTGGGGAGGTGAAGAGAAAAAGATGTCATCTTTCCCTTCTAGAAGGCAGGAGACAGGAGAAATTGCCTAGCTCAAAATTATAACTTGTCATCCAATTATCCTGATCAAGGGAACCCACTGAGACAAAGCCTCAGACTTTAAAAAAGATCATGCTGGGTCCCACTCTTCATGAGAATTTGTCTTTCACGGGGCTTTTCTACTTAGTCTGATTGCCATTTGGGGTGAGGTGGGGGCTGTGCTGGGCTGTAGGGTGTTTGGCAGCACCCCCGGCTTCAACCCACTAGACGCCAGTAGCGCTTGCCTCCAGTTGTGACAGCTGGAAAATGTCTCCAGACATGGCCGAATTGCCTCCAGGGGTCAAAATGTACCGTGTGGAGCAAAATTACCTCCTGGCTGCACCCTGGAACTCCTGGCAATGGGCTGGTGGGGGGGCTTTAGAAAGTACTAGTTCTTGGGGCTCATCCCCAGTGTCTGATTTGCTCGGTCTGGGCATGGCCTGCACGTCAGGATTTTTAAACACTTCCAAGAGGTTCCAATGTGTGTCAGGGTTGATATCTCATCTGTCCACAAATCCTGACTCTGACAGGGACCCCCGCTCAGACTGGAGGCCCAGAACCACGATGACCTGGTAATTGCCCCAGCCTACATCCATCTGGCTTAAATGGCTCAGCTTTGGTGCCCAGCCTGGGCTCCCAGAACCTGACCTCAGACTGGCCTGCGCTGGTCTTTCAAGTTAGAACATTACCTTTTCCACAACCATTTGTCATTCATTTATCATGTCTGGCAGAGGAAATTGTGACATCAACATCAGACCAGTGGGGGGCATATTTGGGGGCAAGAGGTCTTTATGACAGTTCCTCAGAATACCTCAAGAAGAAGCCTTCTCCTTGCAGCCCATGTTATGAGGAGAGTGAAGGCCAGGCAGTGCATGCCTAGGTGTGTGTGTGCGCGAGAGAAAGCACCAGAAAATAAAGCGAAGGGGGAGATGCCATACCTTCTTTTCCTCTTCTCTTGGAATTTCCTCGGACTAGTCGTGGGATGGCAACACACCAAAACAATGAACATCCATGCTTCTACTCCTTTCAACCATGTCTCCTAAATGGATTAGAGCAGCCACAACCTACCTCCTCATCCTCCTGATCCAGCAAGTCTGCCCCTAACCCTCCATCCGACAGAAATGTCTACTTACATTTCCAAAAGATAAGGACTGGAATGTTCATAGCAGGACTCTCCATGATGGTCAAAAGTACCCAAGTTCCTACCAACAGTGGGAAAAACTGGGAGGTAGGCACACGAAGGAATACGATATATCCAGGAGAATGAATGGCCTACAATGTCACACAACATCTCGATAAACTTTACAGAGAAAATGTCAAGCAGTAGAAACCACTCCCAAAAAGGGTGTCTGTTGATGACTGGATTGATACAATGTCCCCAAACAGACAAAATTTTATCCATACTCTTAGATGTCCAGATAGAAGTCACCCTTGGGAACAGGAATAGTGAATGGGGGAGGGGGCAATATGAGGGGGCTTCCGGGATGCTGCGGGTCACGCTTTGTTTTTTGATCTGGGTGCGTTACGTAAGTGTTTTCAGTTTGAGAAAACTTATCAAGCTGTACATTTATAATTTATGTACTTTCCTGTTTGCCTATTATGCCTCAGTAAAATATTTAAAACATAAAAATTACCTCCTCTTTCTTGGCTGCCACCTCCTCTCTCTCGAGCTGGGAGACTGGAGTTCTTGGTGCGCAAGTCCCAGAAAGCTGTTCTTGTCCTCGTCACTGTCCCACCCCAGCACTGTTGCCCTCTGCTCAGGCAGTCGTGCAAACAGAAGTGAGAGGACTCGGTGTCCCACAGCCTGTCTCCTGGGCCAAAGACTGTTCTACTGATTATCAACATGCTGAAACTGCAGAGGCCAGCTCCAAAATGGGCAGAGAGCCGTGGGACTTTTTTTTCCCTTTAATCTCAGTTGTTTATCCTGAAATCAACAATCTTGTAGTGATGACAGAATCAGGCTGTGGCTCAAGGGTGGGATCCACTGGTGTGGCCTTCACCACGCGGCATGTCTCATCTCCATCAAGGGCCTCGGCCCACGGCAGCGGCTCACGTGCTTCTCCCACCGATGATACCATTGCACTCAGTCCCCACATCTGGGTAATATTCTGGGTCATGCACACTTGTGAGTCGTGTGTTTATTTCATGAGCGGCGTACACCTGCACCCTAACTAGCGTAGGCCAATCAGCTGTTGGTGACTCTGAGTTGAGACTTGGGCAAGGAGTGGTAAACCCAGGAGATTTGTCCTTAGGAAGAAGGATCCCAGACTTTCAAATTCAATAAATCTGGACACTATTGAGAGAAGAGAGACATCATTACAGACAGATAATGGTCTCAAATCCCAGCCAGTCATGATTGGGGAAGCAGATGTAAGCCAGGATGATTTTTATGTGTTCCGATAGCCCCTGCCGGGTGGGAGATGAAATAAGCAAGAGGTCTGATTAGGCCACTGAGCAATTGCAGAAATAGAAGGAATCACATTGCTTACGCTTGCCAGGAGGAAAAGGATGGGGTTAACCTGTTACAGTCAATCGTTTTGTCACACAGCTTTATGTACTCAGACATTCTAAAACCCAATTATATAATTCACCTACGACGCTGCCCGTTTGGGACAGTTACTGTCCCCCACCGCAATGTACTCAGTTGTACTGCTAGTCATTCTGACATTGGGGCGGGGGAGAGGGGGGAGGATATTTACATATGAAGTTCTGGGAATGTAATGATGAAAAATAAACACCTGGCCCTCAAGAAGTCCAGCGTCAAGTTGGGCTTGGTCAGTGGCTACTACATGAGAAACCTCCCCGGAAATTTAGGGCTTCAATATAAGAACAACCAAGCTAACTGTCTTGTCTGCTCAGGCTGCCATAATGAATATCATAGACTGGGCAGCTTAAACAACAGAAAGTTCTTTCGCACAGTTCTGGAGTTCAAGTCCAAGATCAAAGTGCGGGCAGATTTGGTTCCTGGTAAGAGCCTTCTTCCTGGCTTGCACTATGCTGTCACATGGCTTTTCCACTGTGTGTGCCCAGAAGAGAGATCTCTCGCTCCTGCTCTTCTTGTAAGGGGACTAATCCCATCATAAAAACTTCAGCTAAACCTAATGACCTCCCAAAGGCCCAGTCTCCAAATACCATCACAGTAGGGGTGAGGGCTTTGACATATGAATTGGGCATATGGGGGGTCGTGAGGGGCAAACATTTATTCTAAAACAGTGACCAACAGTATTAGTCTGCTAGGGTTACCATAACCAATACCACAGACCAGGTGGCTTAAATAACAGAAATTTCTTTTCTTTTTTTCTTTTTAAAAAGATTTTAATTTTTTATTCATGAGAGAAAGAGAGAGAGAGAGAGGCAGAAGGAGAAGCAGGCTCCCCGCTGAGCAGGGAGCCTGAAACAGAACTCAGTCCCTGGACCCCGGGGATCACAACCTAAGCTGAAGGCAGATGCTTAACACTCACCCAGGCGCCCCAGAAATGTATTTTCTTGCAGTCCTGGAGACTGGAAGTCTGAGATCAAGATGTCAGTAACACTGGCTTCTTCTGAACCTCTCTTCTTAGCTTGCAGATGGCCATATTCTCACTGTGTCCTCACACGGTCACCCCTCAGTCTGTGTTGTCTGTGTCCAAATCTCCTCTTCTTACAAAGACACCAGTCAGATTGGGTTAGCACCCACCCTCTGACCCCATTTTAACTTCATCACCTCCTTAGAAGTCCAATCTGCAAATCTAGTGACATTTCTGAAGTCTTGGGCAGGGGTAGGGCTTCAACCTATGAATTTGGGACAATACAACCCAGCTATAACATGAGCTATCCTGGTTTGCCCAGGACTGAAGGGATTCCTGGGATATGGCCCTTTCCGTACTAAAACCAGGAAAGACCCAGGCAAGCTGGGACAAAATGGTCACACACACCCCTCCCCCACCGCCCAAAATTTGTTTTGCTCACACTTCGGTAACATGGGTAGGGCTCAGAAGAGACAATTCATATGTGCTCTATTCTTTGGGTGGGGGCACTTGGAAGGTGGGGGACAGCTAGAACCATCCAAGGTGGTTTATGTCCGGGGGTTGATGCTGGGAAGGCTCAAACAGCTGGGGGCTGGGACAGCTGTTGCTCCTCAGGCATCTCCATCTCTAGGTGGTCTCTCCTTGTGGTTTTTCTAACAGAGTGACCTCTAAGTACCTGGAGTTCTCACATCATAGCTCCGGGATTCCAAGGCGCATTTCCCAGGCAGAAGCTATGTTAGCTGTTATGACCCAGTCTCAGAAAGTCACAGAGCAGCACTTCTCCTGCCTACTATTTATCAAGGCGGTCACAGTGGTTTTCCTTGGCTCAGGGGGAGTAGAAATAGACTCCGTCATTTGATGGTGTGTTGACCGGAACATGTGGGCATGCAACATATTGTTATAGCCTTAAAAAAATTTTTTTTAAGATTTTATTTATTTATTTGACAGGCAGAGATCACAAGCAGGCAGAGAGACAGGCAGAGAGACAGGCAGAGAGAGAGAGAGGTAGAAGCAGGCTCCCAGCTGAGCAAAGAGCCTGATTTGGGGCTCAATCCCAAGACCCTGGGATCATGACTTGGGCCAAAGGCAGAGGTTTTAACCCACTGAGCCACCCAGGCACCCTAAAAAAAATTTTTTTTTAAGATGTATTTATTTGAGAGACCGCATACGTGTGAGTGGGGGGAGGGGCAGAGGGAGAGGAAGAGAGAATCTCAAGCAGATGCCCTGCTGAGCACGGAGCCCCCCGTGGGGCTTGATCTTACAACCCCAAGATCATGACCCAAGCCAAAACCAAGAGTCAGAGGCTTAACCAACTGCGCCACCCAGGCGTCCCTTAAACGAAACTTTTTTAAAGTGTGGTAAAATACACATAACAGAATTTACCATTGTAACCATTTGTGAATGGTTGGTTCAGTGGCACTCATTACATTCACACTACTGCACTACCAATCTCCCAAACTCTTCATCTTGCAAAACTGACATTCCGTGCCAGTGAAACACTAACTTCCCATTCTTCCTCCCCCGACCCTGGCAACCACCATTCTACTTTCTGTCTCTATTAACTTGATTATCCTAAAGATCCCCTACAAGTGGAATCGTACAATAGTTAACTTTTCATATCTGGCTTATTTCACTTAGCATAATGTCCTCAAGGTTCATCCATGTTGTAGCATGTGTCCGAATTTCCTTCCTCTATAGGCTGAAGACTATTCCACTGTATGGATGGACCACCTGATGCAGCCACACTGGAGGAGGACAGAGACCATCAGACTCAGTTATAGCATATTGGGATGAGTACTGTAATCAGAACACTACGGGATGCTACAAGGGCACAGAGGAGAGGGAAACATTTCCTGGAAGACACGATAGTTTTTAGGTACGCCGACATTGTGAATTCTGCCTTTTAGGCCGAGCAAACAGGAAACACAGGGGCCCTGGGGTCAAGAGTGAGCAGGGTGTTTCGGAAATCTGTGGACAGAGGGCAGGGCAGGTCTACCTGATTCAGGTTGAGCTGAAGGGGATGCTCTTCACAAAGATGACAATGGCGCCTTCTAGAATGGTACCGTGCACGACATGCTCATCCATCCTCGGCAGTCCTGTGAAAGAACAAGCAGGGAAGAAAGCAGGGAGATGAAGGTCCCAGCAACTGGGTTGCCAGAGCTCAGATCAAGGAGAATCTTCTATAGTCTTCTACAACCTGAGGGTTGGAGGACTTATTCTGGAAATAATGAGCAACCATCAACAGATTTTTAATGGGGACGAAGAGGAACCAAAATCAGAATTTACTATTACTAGTAGAAGTAAAGGTGCCATCACACTCTGGGGGATGGACCTCTTCCGGTTCTCTCTTTTTCTCTCTATTGATTATATCTGATTCACCAACAATTACCTGGAAGCCTCAGAAAGCTTGGCCCTCAGGTCAGATAAAAACAGGTCCATTTTCCTCCTGAGCCCGGCATTCAGAACTTCCACCCACCAGCTCTAAGCCTCCATGGTATTTACATTCTAGTCATGGGAGAAGGACTACATGTAAGCAAAGGAATAACTGGGGTGATTACAGATGGAGATAAGTGCTATGGGGAAAATAAAACCAGATGATCTGGTGGAGACTGCCTGGGTGGGAATAGGTGATCAGGGAAGGGCTTTCAAAGGAGGGGCTTTCGGGGTGTGTGACCTCTGTGACAAGTAGACAGCAGCTATGTGAATCTGAGGGGGAAATTTTGCAGGGAGGGAAACCAGTAAATGTGAAGCCCCTGGAATGAAAACAAGGGTGGTATTTTCAAAAAAAAATATCAAGGTCAGTGTGGCTGAAGTAGATGTATGAAAAAGGGTAAGTAGGGGACGGGTTGGGGAATTAGCAGGAGCCTTGTAGGCTAGGCATATTAGACAGAATGACTAGGAAGCCATTGGAGGGTGTGAGGTTGGGAAGTGACATTATAGCCAATGCTTCTCAGACATCACTTAAAATGTTCTCAGCCACCCCTGTGCACTGGGCCCTTGGCTAGTTTGTCTGCTTTGACTACAGTGGTGACCGGCTCTGTATGAGCTCTGTGATTAATGTCACATAGACATGGTCCACCATCACCTCCCCTCATGCCTCCTTCATGTGCCTCTCACTTCCCCTGGGAATTTCACCCTCCTTGAAAAGGGGGCATGTATACAGCTTATACATGTGCAACCCCAAAGGGCAGGGAGTTGATATCTTATGGGGAGTTAATGTCTCCTGACTCACAGAAGACAGGAGTTGGTAGATTCTTACCCCTACCTTCCCTTGGAGAGGTGGTCTTGGGGTATAGTCCTTACAGAGCTTCTTGGAAGCCAGTCCATTAGCTTAAGCAATCAGTGTCACTTGATTCAAAAAAGTAGCCAGGTCAACACCACACCCTCCATTGGCTTGCCATCCTTCCCTGCCTCACTTCCTCCATTCCTCACTCCAGCTCCCTGGGATTGGATATCCTAATATTCCCTATAAACTTTACCATTTAAGTTTTACCACCAACTTTTTTTTTACTAGGGAGCTAAGACAGACATATGCAGATTTGCCCTTTAGAAAGGTCACTCTGGCTTCTGTGTGGGTGGTTGGTTATGCAGGGACAAGGGCAGAAATTATGAGAGACATGTTAAGAAGCTCTTGTAGTTGTCCAGGCAAAAGATGATGGTTCCTGAGAGGAGTGGATGGTAGTGGAGATGGAGTGGATAGACTCATGGTGTATCTTGGAGGCAGAGCTGACAAGAACAGCTAATGGATGAGATGTGGCACAAGAGAGAAATCAAGACCGACTCCTAGGTTTTGGCTTGGGCAACTAACCAATGATGGTGCTTTTTACCAAACACTGGAAAAGGAACAGGTTTGGAATACTTTCTTTGTTCACCGATATTTTAATTAAATATTTTTATTTATTTAAGAGAGAGAACAAGCAGGAGGGAGGGGCAGACAGAGAGAGAAACAGATTCCCCGTGGAGCAGGGAGCCTGATGCAGGTCTCAATCCCAGGACCCTAGGATCATGACCTGAGCCGAAAGCAGACTCCTAACAAACTGAGTCACCCAGGTGGCCCTGTTCTCCAAATGTTTTGAAAGCCTCTACTATGTGCTAGTGAAGAGGTCTAGAATACGCCAGTGTCAAAGGATTACTTTGAGTTAAAGATATTTGAAAGTCCACAGCTGCACTAGAAGACTTTTTCTAAACTCCCCCCTTCCTAAAAGCAATACCTCCCCAAATAATTCAACTGCCATAAATACCCTCCTGGGAATTTCACAACCAGGAAAGATTGACTCTTATCACTGAAGAGAGAAGTCTGCATAAGTCAGCATCTGGATAAGAAATCACTTCAACAGGGATTGTCATAGAACTATCATATTTCCCATCTATTTTTCTATGTTCCCATTTGTTTTTCCTAAAAGTCATTTGTTCTCCCAGAAGTACCCTTCTGCCTCTCTCCATCTTCTATTAAGGTGGTATATAAAAATTCTAACCATGTGAAGTCATGTTTCTTTGTAAACTCCTGAGCATAGCTTTCTATTTAAATCTGGTTTTCTCCTCTTGCTAATCTGTTTCTTTTTGTCAGTTTAATTTGCAGGCCCCTAATGACAAAACTTAAGAGGTTAGAGGAAAATGCCCCCCCCCCAACAATAGGCAGTTTTAAGTATAGTGGACACGGAGTTGAGAGGCCCAGTCTCTGTCACAAGGGTCTCGCCAATGACAATACCATGGATCTGTGTACAAGGGGCCATGAAAATACCATGATTTATGTCAAATGTTGTCTCTGGGGAGGAGAGGAATCAGGGAGGGAGTCCTGGAAAAACCTAAGAGGGGTTCTAAAGGATGAGATGAAGTTAGCCAGAAAAAGGAGCAGGAAAAATGTGATTAAGGTAGCAAATGCAAATATGTAGCAATGTGAGAAGTGTTAGCCCATGGAGTTAAGAATGTGTGGGTAGAAAAGAAAGGAAAGGGGGAAAAATGAAAGAATGATCTCAGAGGCAGAGAGGCTAGCCGCTGAAGGAAATTCCCCAAACCATTTGCATATTTCATTGTTTTGTGCTTTTGCACATGGGGTAGTCTCATCCTGGAACATTCTCCCCCATCTCCGCTCCCACCTCCTGACAAAGCTCTACTCTTCTTTCAAGGTCTTAATACCTGGCTCTCCCCTCTTTGCTGGGTCCCTTCCCCACCTCCCCCCACCTCCTGCCCAAGGGTGTGTAGTTCACTGCACCTCACTGCTGCTCAGCTCCAGGATGCCATGAGTTGGGCATGTCCTTGACCTTCCTTTTCCCTGCCAGGCTGTGAACTCCTTAAAGCTTGGATTCCCTCTTTCAGCTCAGAGCCCAGCCTGAGGCTTGGAGAATGCAGAATCTGCTCAATAATTTTCTGAAACGCCCTTGAAATGTGACATAAGTTTGAAACCATTGAGGAGACACCACCCACACTGCCCCGGAAGAAAACCAGTCTACGCGGTCAGAGTCATCAAAGATGGTCTCAGAATGCTTCCCATCAGCCTCGGCCCAGAGACATGAGAGATTCTCTCCACTGGGTCCAACTGCTCCTTAGGTTTTGCGTCACAGAGTCGGTGCCAGCTGCTGGGCTCAGGCCAGTGGTGTAGGCAGTTACCCACACAGACCCACCAGACCAAGACCACCAACCATTTTCACACAGCACAAGAAATGGTATTCATTGAAAGGCTTGATACGTTCTGCCAACGCAGACCAGGGCTGGCCCCGGACCAATGGCTGCAGGGAGAAGGCAAAAGTTTCCATGTCTCTTTCTCTGCTGTTAGTCCCTCTTGCACATATGGGATTTATTCTCTACAGGTTTCAATGTTACATTGAAACTAAACTCAAATGGCCAAAATATTTCATTGAACAATATACAACAAAGATAAAAGCCACCTGCACTGGGGGAGGCACTGACAGCCAGCTCTGAATTGCTCTAGTGTTTGGAACTTCCTGAATGGAATTCTCAAGTGCTTTCTGAACAATTTGAAGAGCTCATCTGTCCAGGGTTGATTAGGACTGTCCCAAACTGGGGTCACCATACTTCAATCAAACAAAAAATGGAGGAAAACAAGATTTCCTGGAAAGACAGAAACAAAACAAAGTTATAACTGCGCCCAGTGGATTCAAATAACATGGAATTTCCGTATTCTTGTACAGAATCCAGTAGATAAACATATATGTGTGTGTGTGTGTGTATATACACACACACACACACACACACACACATATATATACACACACACATGTATACACACAAACACATATAATTTCCCACTTATTCTACTACAGAATCCCAGCCTAAGATCATGACTCCCCTAAAAAAAATAGTAATGTAATAGAGAGATTTTTATGGTCATCCTTACGACTGACCTCATAAAATAATCTGAGTTATATACATGCATGTACACACATAGGCCAGATTCTCAACTTACGTAATTCTGTGGGAATTCACAGAGTTATATTGGTTGAGAATTTGGCTTCAGCTACCCTTATTATAGAAATTCCCATCAACTAGCCAGAGATGAGGCTACACACACGTTGCCACAAAGCTTCACAGGCTGAGAATCTGGCCGACAGAGCACAGAATAATGTCCATCCAAACATCGGCTTGGATTTTATCTGGTCTTGCTTTCCAGAGAAGCTTGCATGATGGAATGAGCAAATGCCTTTGGCCTCTGGAGTTCTATGAATCAGTGTGACCCAGGATGGGAAGCCCCAGGCTGTCTGTCCAACGTGGAGGCACGCAGTCCCTCCCCACCTCAGTCTCCCGGCCTGTGAACTGGGTGGGACCGTTACCTGCCTCTCCCCCTCCTTCTGGGCATCCTCTGCTATTTATGAAAGTACAGTTTGCAAACTACAACTCCCCCAGAAATAGGCATTAAGAGCTCAGTCTGGCGTTGGTTGTCAGAGAAAATGCATTTATTTGCTAAGTTAGCAAGTGCCAACACCACTAATTGAATTTGTGCCAAAACATGCATTTTTAAATATGTTGTTCTGTTCCATTCATTATTTAGAGAACGTCACCTAAGGGCAGTGCACGCTACAAGCCAAAAATCTCATCCTGCAT